ATCCGTCACCATGTAAAAACAATGGGATATGTCAAGCCAATGGACAAGATTTCACATGCCAATGCCGTTTTGGATTCAAAGGCCGTTTATGTGAAAGACGAAACAGTAAGTGTATACATTCGTTAGGCCAGGGGTTGCCGACCTTTAGTCTCTCGTTTACTCCTACGCAAAAGTAAAAGTTTACCAAAACCCATTTTTTATGAAAATATCAAAATCTGTAGCGCTGGGGTAGACAGTCTCACCATCATTCAAAATAGAACGTTGTAATCTCATACTTGGCCACGTTTGGCCATGCACCTAAAGGAAATCCGTACTCTATTCGTGTAGTAGAGAGAAGTATGAATTTCGCAAAGCAGTATTTTGAATTTCTTAAGAAAATTTTCATGCACAAGTGTAATGACGTCTTTCATAGCGTTTGCTCATATTACTTCGATTCACTATCGTTTATAAAGTGACGAGAGCTCACTGCGATATTTCGCAGGCCACAATAATGGATGTATGTCTCGACAAAATAACCTTAAATCTTGCTACGAACTTAAATTCAAATAGAGATAAACAAAAGCCTTATTTTGTTGAATTTTTTGTCAACATAAATTTGGATAAATGTTTAAATTTGTTCAATATATTACTTGCTCATTCAAGTAGGCTACACTTCATATAGTAAATTACACAAAATCTTTTCCAACCAGATGCCAGATCCCGATGTCAGTATTGGTGGCTCCCTGAAGTTCCCTGCAGGCCGAAGTTGTGTGATGATTCTCCATGCAGCCTATTACCACAGTTGACCTGCAAAATTGATAGATGCGGACGTTGTAAGGCTCGCTTCTACAATCGTTTTGGTTTTGAAGTCCCTTGTACTTGGCGTCATCAATTTGGGCTGTTTTAAAAGTGAAAATCCATTTGAAGTCATCTATTCCTCTGAATAAAATTGATGCTTTCGGCTATCGTTTGCTTTGTCTCTTTTGTATATAAATTTATTTAATATAGTTTCCATGAAGTGCAATTCGTCATACCCGATGATTAGACACCGACAGGCATAAATGTACAGTGTGAGCAAATAGGTCGCAGATTTTGACGGGCTTTATTCCGTTCCATAGCAGTGGCGAAAATTTTGTATGACGTAGTCAGGAAGGACATACTAAAAATTGTTGAATCTCGCCCACAAGAATTTTTATGATAGACTAAACCAGTGGTCGGCAAACTGCAGCCCGCGGGCCAAATGCGGCACAAAAACACATTTTTTGTGGAGTTGAGAGGAGTTGTTGAGATATGCTCAGCGTTAACTTCCTATATCCACAGTTATTCTGTAATCTGTTGTATACCTGTCAATCAATTCGTTTTTTTTATCGATCTTAAGATCGGTAAGTATATTGATAGGTATTTGTCTGTATGTATGTCTGTATGTATGTATGTCTGTCTGTCTGTTAGATGCACGCGATATCTCACGAAGGCGTGGTTGAATCTGCTCCAAATTTTGCATGTGCATTCATCATATCTCGGACCAGAAGCCTATTGATTTTGGATGAATTATGTCGTATAATTAGCGAGTTATTAATTAATTAGTGATGAAGAGATCTGGATTTTCACAAATCGAGAGATTTTCGAGACGCGCTGAATGTGTGTGTGCGTATCAGATGCGCAAGTTTTCACGCTAGTGAGTCAGAGCGAAGGATACACACCGCTAGATCGTATCTCGTGATTAATCTTTGAGCCTTGTCCGTATCTCTCTTGTAACTTTGACGTCGTCGCGATGCGCAAGTTTCCTTCGAGAAATTTTCCACACTATTGAGTCAGAGCGAAGGATACACGCCGCGAGATCGTATCTCGTTACTTATAATTACTCCTTAAAGTTTAAGCAATGTCCATATCCCTAAATCAGGTTCGGGGTTGCAGAATTCCTCACCAAAATATCGCTAGGCTGTGTTTGAATAGCCGTCGCAACCTGGGTTAGCGGCGTTGTATTTAACACAAACTATAGGATTGGTAAATACAGAAATAGGCTATTGGCTGGAAACTAATCGAAACAATCCAGTTCGGATTTGCAGAATTCTTCATAAAAGTATTTCCTCGAGTAGTATTTCGACGACATGGGGAGTTGGCTATTGTATTGTTTCCTTGTTCTCCTTCCTGTTTGGCCATTATAACTCAACTTACGAGTTTAAAATTTCACGAGTACTAAAAATAATATCGCCAGAGGCTAATTGTCCCTACGATTCGATTTGTCAAAGAACAACCCGGTACAAAAATTCGCGTTATTTAGCAGAAGCTACAGCAAAAAATAAACAAGAACCGATTAATAAAGATATCTTTAACTTGTCAGTCGTATCGCGGTAGATGCAGAGATTCGTCTAAGTAGCCTACTATGATACTAAACCAAATATTGCGATCATTATAAAAAATTGTAAAATCACAATAATAATAAATAATTAAATAAAAAGAATATCCTACAGACAGTAATCAATTTTTATTATTAAACTAAAGACAGGGTAAACCATTTAGTAGATCTTTGTATAAGTATAGTCAACCCGAAGAAAAAGTTGGACAGCGTCATGTACTCGATGTTGTATACTTTGTTGGTCTGCAGTACCATATCTATGAAGTCTATATCAGGTACAGTACTATACATAAATATGTTTTTAAAATAATGACTGGACGCGACGGCCTAGTGCACGGGTGGGCAACATACGGCCCGCGGGCCGCGTCCGGCCCGCGACGAGATTTTGACCGGCCCGCGGACTGTATCCAACCACACTCTGTAATGTGGTCCGACGCATCATTCCTGAAAGTTGCCGATCGCTCTACTCTCACCGCACTGTCAGCGCGAGCTGGTGAAATAAACAATTGTCCTAATGAACAAACAAAGGACCTTTCTCCGACCTCTGGCCCCCGAAAATATCTTCTTCTACTTTACCATTGCAAAATTGTCGGGGCTTATTTTAAGAGTGGTTTCGCGAGTTGGCGCTTGTAAAATAGGGTACGGTATGTGATTGAAACCATCATTATGATTCATCGCATAGCCTACAACAATATGTTTTTTGAAAGTACCGGTAAATACTTTTGGCCTGGTCTATCACAGTTATTTCTACACTAACTTTTTATTACTGCAATTAAATGTCCATCGCGTTAGCACACTTTTTAAACAACCAATATCAGGCCAAGGCAGAGAGCGTTGTAAACCAGTAAACATTCCCCACTAGTGTTATCAGATATATTTAGATTCTAAATATAAATAGATTTTAGAAATTAGATTCATTATTAATATTAGGTTTTATTAATTATGAAATATCCCAAGAAACGTAAAATTGACAGAGAGTGTCCAGCATTTAACAAAATTGGATACGAAGTATTTTTTGTGATAATCCGGCCCGCCGAGAACTTCATTCTCCCACATTTGGCCTGCCGACTAGAAAAGTTGCCCACCCTGGGCCTAGTGGTTATTAAAGCTTTGAACTCAACTAGGGCTTGGCATTTTGAATCGAAGTTGTAGATAATTCGAATCGGTTCATAGCAAAATTTCGAATCACCGCCATCTTTTTTATTTCCACCAATGGTCGAGGTGAATTTCCCAATTTTTTCATTGAAGCAATATTTTTTCAACGCAATTCTGCTGTATGACTATTTTCTGTAGTGATGTATTGATAAAAACGTGTTTTTATTGTGTGTGATCGTTCAGCTATTTGTTTGAATGATGTATTCCATGTTTTCAGTAATTCACATGTTGACAGGACCGATTACAATAAAAAAAAAGTCGCATACAATTACATATCTCCCATTGATTCCGAAATATTCGAGATTCGATTCGAAAAAAAATATTCGATTCGATTCTGAAATCATCAGGTATTTGAAAATGCCAAGCCCTAGACTCAATTTTGATGTCACCGCAGCTTACAGATAAAATCCCATTCAAATACCCAACGCGGGACGCAATAAATTACTTTACCAATACCAACGTCAAAACAGGAAGAGTCCGGTCCTTACAAAGCGTAGCATCTCTTTGCCCTGCAAAATATATTTATAATTGAAGCGCTTCATGTGGTGTGCAAATCTGAAAGAAACATTGAAATGTAAACTCATGGTCGTTACCCCATAACGAATTGGCGTTTCTTTGTGTTACGTAAAGTGTTCTACAAAAATCTTAAAGAAAAAGATAAATTATAATAAAATTTTAAATACGAATTGCATTATCAAACGGTGCATGTTCATGCTCTAAATGAAATCATTACTGAACTAATTAGGCTCGTTAGCTCAATTAATGTTTAGAGCAGGGTCGTCCAATCCGTAGCCCGCGTGCCACTTGTCGCCGCCGAAGAGTTCCGAGTGGCCCGCGCACTATTTTTCGAAATTAAATAACTAAACTCAACCCGATGTATCCCACAAATACGAGCCACAATTGACACAATTGACCTCCCATAAAAATTAGGAAAATCATAATAAAATAATTATACCTCGTCGTTAAAACGCGCGTGAGACATGACTAAATTCGAAGCATCGCTTTCAATTTACTTCTGCACTAGTTAGCACTGATCTGTCTATTTCATCCTGTTGTATTCAACCTCCGTATACAACAAGCCCTGAATTTTATATAGAGCAAGTTGTGTTTTGTTATTTTGGTTTGTTTGTTTCGGGTTGGACCGCGAGTTTTGTTCAACAAAATCGAAAGTTATTGTGCGATCATTGGTCGAGAAAATTATAGGAATAAATTTGCAACCCAAATTTAATTCATTAGGATTATTATCTTTCGAGTGGAGTTTGATCATCCTTACACCGGAAAATAAAAATTGTACAGTACAATATCTTTGCTACTGGCTTTTTCTGCGTTAAATGAAACGCAAATTCTAACGTAATTTAGAACTGGTATATATATATATTCAAGTTTGTGGTCCGCAATGAGTTTCCTCACCTAAAATGGCCCGCGGCACTAAAAAGGTTGGGCATGCCTGGCCTAGAGGTATCTTTTTTATGATGGCATCGTGGCATATAACGTAATACTTTATAGCTTTAATTTTATTCAAAAAAAAATTATTTTCGTCACATATGGTAGTATTTCACCAGTTGAGCCCACAAATATTTAGTTCACCGCGTCCTCAGAACCTGTTACCTAGGTGCTTCCGTAGTATGTGCACCAAGATGGCGCACAACCTGAACACAGTAAGTGTACCAGGTTTGAGTTCAGGTTGTGCGCCATCTTGGTACACATACTACCGGAGCGCCGTTATGTTATACTGTATTTTAGCAATCACGGACAATATGCGAACTGGTCGCTTTGAGTCAATTGAATTTATTGGACAAGAAGTGTACCTATGAATCGTTTTGTTATTATGGTGTTGTTGTTGTTAGTATTTCTTTTCTTCTTATTATTATGAAAAAATCGCTTCTATTTCATAACTGGACCAATTGCTTCGAAATTTTCATTGTTTGAAGATTTTTTTTTTCGCTAGAAGGCTTTTACTTTTATTTATTTCAAACAATACTGTGAGTTTTATTGGATTCGGTTTTTCGTGTGTGTGTGATGACGTCATCAAAATTGCGCATCTCGTGGCTGATCCGCCGGTACTCCCGAATTATGTGAACCAAGATGGCGGACACCGGAACGTAGTATGTGTACCAGGTTAGGGTTAGGCCATAAAATTATTCCAATTTTCTTTTTTATTCCAATTTTCTAGGTATATTACGAGTTCAGGGACTAGCCAAGTGACGCCCGTAGTAATTCTACCTGAAATTATGGCCTAACCCTAACCTGGTACTTATACTACGTTCCGGTGTCCGCCATGTCGGTTTCATTCTTCGGGAGTACCGATCCATTCGTGTCCATATATTTGAGCATTGCTTTTTTGTTTGAATTACTTTTTGCCGTGTATGCATCGACGTCAAATAATTTAAATAAATATCACATGAGACTTCCCCCATCCTTTTCACTAAAAAAAACAATTGAAAAGTTATCACTTGAAAAAAAAAATTTGAGAAAGACTCTGTGACCCTCTGTCACCTTACCAATATTTCTGTCTTTCAGCTGTTACCCCAGTAACGGACTTGAGATGTAGTGAAACGGTTCCTGCTAATGGTTGTGAGTATATATGTCTGTCGAATGGCGACTGTGCATCTAACGAATTGTGTTGTCCGGACCAAGGTTGTGGAACGGTTTGTTGGCCGTTTGACCCATGCGACCCATCACCGTGTCAAAATGGCGGAACGTGCATTGCAGACGGAAGAGATTTCACCTGTCTGTGCAAGAATGGATTTGAGGGAGAAGTTTGTAAATCACGTAATATGGTATTTTGATATATTCTAATATTATATCAAGCTAACTTGATCACTCAAGTAGATAGAAAGCCTGAAAATTTCTAATGAGACTTGTAATAAAAGTAGGACTTAATGGTGATAACGAAATCAATTGGACATTATCGACTGTCAAATTTTCAAACCCATTTACAAAAATTTGTTTATTCTTTTTTATTGATTCATTTTTGGCAATATCAATTTCTACATTTAAAACAAATACACTTTTGACGGAAACTCTGTAACTCGCTGTTACCTAACTAATATTTCTGCCTTACAGCTGTTACCCCAGTAACGGACTCGAGATGTACTGCAACGGTTCCTGCTAATGGTTGTGAGATTATATGTCTGTCGAATGACGGCTGTGCATCTAACGAATTGTGCTGTCCAGACCAAGATTGTGGAACGGTTTGTTGGCCGTTTGACCCATGCGACCCATCACCGTGTGAAAACGGTGGAACGTGCGTTGCAGACGGAAGAGATTACACTTGTGTGTGCAAGAAGGGATTTAAGGGAGACGATTGTAAACGTAATATATTATTTTGATATATTTTAACATAATATCAAGCTAACTTCATAGTATTCCATCGAATGGTCTATGTTCACGTGCGAGATTTATTTGGTACTCCCGAAGTATGTGAACCAAGATGGCGGACACAGGAACGTTGTATATGTACCAGGTTAGGCCATAATTCAGGTACAAATACTACAGGAGTCACTTGGATAGTCCCCAAACTCGAAATAGAACTAGCCTAAGAAAAATTGCATAAAATTATGGCCTAACCCTAATCTGGTATACATACCATGTCCAGGTGTCCGCCATCTTGGTTCACATACTACGGGAGCGCCCTTGTATTTTTAAATACTATTCACAATATAAACTATATAAATATTATATCTGACCAGATCCTAGTTCCAAATGTCCATTCCATATGCCAGAAGTTACCTGCAAACCGGATTTGTGTTCTGATTCTCCATGCCGACTGCTTCCACAATTGATCTGCAGAATAAGTAGATGTGGACGCTGCAAGACTCGCTTCTACAATCGTTTTGGTGTTGAATTTCCTTGCAATTTACTAGTTGGATTGTTCTTAAAATGAACATTCGCTTTAAGGCATGAGGCATCCATTCATCTGAATAAATTTGATACTTTCATCTATGGTTTGTTTGGTCTCTTATGTATATATTCATTTATTATGGGTTTTCTGAAGTGTTTATCCTTGCCTTCTGTGGTCAGACGTACAGCATAAATATTCAGCGTAGTTCAAGAGTAGGTTTTTAATGTCCCATCTTAAAAGTTGCAGTCGTTTTTTGGGCGCTCCAGAAGTATGCGTACCCATATGGAACTGATTTTGTTCGCCTACTTTACACCAGGTAGTGTAAGGGGACTGAAACCCATGGACATGGGGGTATATTTACTTGGCGAACAGAGACAGTCCCCGAACTTGTAATAGAACTGAAATAAAGAAAATCGGAATAAAATTATGGCCTAACCCTAACCTGGTGCACACACTACGGGAATACTGTTTTTTGTGACCTGGGCGACAAAGACTGTACACTAGAATTTATTAACAGTATAACGAGAATATCGGTCAGAGACCGAAGACTTATCGATCGAAAGTTAGGGGATCCCCCAAAACAGCGCTCTCACTCCATAGTGACACCTTGTGTCCCCATCACTAATTAATTAATACCTCGCTAATTATACGACATAATTCGCCCAAAATCAATAGGCTTTTGGTCCGAGATATGATGAATGCACATGCAAAAAAAGATATCGCGTGCATCTAACAGACATACACACAGATAGACAGACAGACAGACATAATCTATCAACATACTTATCTTCCAAGTCCCAGGTTTGTATACTCGAAATAACACAACTTGTAGTATACAGTTGACACGGTTATCTTAATACAAAGATAAAGCAAAATCAGCACGAAATAGTAACAATGGATTATTATTCTCAATTAATTCATCCAAATATATGATCACAAGAAATTTTACATACTATTTTAAATCACATGAATATATACATTTGCTTTAAAACACAATTAACACAATAGTATAACATAATTATCAAATGTAATTAATCATCAAGTTTGCAGGTTTATCATTAACCCTCTACCAGCTTCAATAACACTCAAGTTCAAGGCTGTTTTTTACAAATTTTTAAACACAATGTCGCATATGTAAAATTACAATAGATACTCGCACATAAACGTCATTTAGCGGAAGAGCACTCTGGCATACGCTTTTAAAAAGACATGAGTGACGTTTCAGGGCCTAATGGTTGACGATAATGAACAAAATTCGAAAGAGAACATACAAAATGGCCGCTCCAGGAAACTAGGCTAGACTGGGTTAAATATTAGCAGCCTTCGAATCAGAGTTGCAAATTATAAAATACCGAATTTGTCTGCTATTCCAGACTTCAAAATATCACAAGCTGAACATGGCATCATTCGTCATCGAAATCCAATCAAACAACTAAACTATACCTGTAAAAGCAATCACAAAGGCAGACTAATGCTTTTAAAAATATTATTAGATTATTATTAGATTAGATTATTAGATTACTATGTAGCAACTAGCAACCCTAATCAACATTATTTAATTATGCCCAGCGCCATTTAAATACAAAAGCGGGAAATATCACTCAAGACATGTCTAGAGTTATATATACGCATTGGTCTGGGCAGTCGCCTACAATGAATCTTCGATTATTTCGTAACGAAGAGTGGAGACTCACACTGTCAATGACGGAATATTATGGCGTCAACAATAACAAATAAATATCTCGACAAGTAACACTCATACACTGTTGTAACGTCACTATACAAAATCAGCAGATGCTAGTCTCAAAGCAACGTTACACCCGGATAAATATATTTAGTTCAAACTTCGTACAATATACTTCGACATGGACCTAATCAATTTTGAACCCTCTTGGTCGTCCCATACATAGCGGTTAAGATATTTCATATTGAGCCTGTCTGAGAAATCATTAATGCGTTAATTCAGATGTTACGTCATGAATTGGTAATTCAAAACTGAAAATGACCGTTGCCATATTTTTGTAAGTCATATAAACGATTTTCCGGCATGTCTGTAACCATTGATTGATACGTGTTATTGTGATATATATGTTGTACGTCGTTGTCGCATGTGTTTTCATAAGTCTTTACCATTTTAGTTAATGTAATTCGACCTGAATTGCTTAATATTTGTTTCCTTGGTGTTGCGGCGCAGACTTCAGTAAATATACTTCTCTTGTGCAAGATGATGTTTTTAGATTTTTGATAGGAGGTATTGTTAGGGCCCATGTGCCTCATCGTTCACTTCATTATGTCACACATGTTCAAAATTATTAATATTTCGCCTGTGAATGAATAGACTAAAGAAAGATTCATGCGGAATTGGGACCTGAATTTGCATAAATACTGACTGATCATTACAACTGCATTACAGAACTTATTAGTTATCGATCTTAAGATCGGTAAGTTTGTTGATAGGTATTTGTGAAATAAAAATATGTGCGGCCCGCCAATGACTTGCAACCCTTAACTTTGGCCCTTGAGCAACAAAAGATTGCCGACCCCTGGTTAGCACGATGAGCCACACCGCCACGCAGAATAAGTTGTCACTATCAGTACATATATATTATGAAAGACATTTTTTTGAATTAAGCCGTAATTTATGCATTTACTCTAATTAGTCCGGCAGAATCGGGCCTTAACATTGTTTTGGGACATAAAGTTTTTTTTATTGTTTAGATATAATGTATATGACATATATAATGATACCCAGGTGGGTGTGGAGTATATAATGTTGAGCAATTTTTTTTAAGTGGATTTAAAGTATTCGGTCCAAGATGACGCACATCCTGAACCCCCACCTGGTAAGCATACAATATTCAGGTTGTGCGCCATCTTGGTACGAATACTTCAGGAGCGCCCTTTTGTTAAAAACAATTATTTCATAACTACATGGTTTAGTTTTGCATACATAGTAACATTGAATCTCCTTACAATGTCAAAAATTCAATTTTAGTAGAATAAATGGTAGTTTATTCCGCTAATACAAGCCAAGATCCATCGACAGTATCTAGCCACTTTCTATTGCGCTCTTCAAACTACATTTGCGTCGCCGCGCGCAGTTCGTTTTCCTAGTTTAAGCTTAGGGACTTGGGAAATATTTTATTAGTTGAATTGGATTGGAATATTTGACCTCGTCTTTCACTCCGAACAAGGAACAAGGCCATGTAAAACCATCCACTGGTATCTAAAGATGTGTAACGTGTTTTCTTTTGGGAGAACCGCAACCTTTCAGAGCTACATTGTTTTTGGCAAAATTAATATATCCTTGTGGACATAGAAAGTATGCGTATGCGAAACCGAGATGTGCACCTGTTATGCCAACATGGTTGAGTCAAACGTTTTGAATACTAGTACATCACACACATTTTCCTGCGTGCTTCGGTTGTACGTAGTAACGCGCACATTTTTGCGCACATGCATCAAATTCCACTTGATTATTGAGCTATAGGTTTTTGACGAGTTTTTGTGTATGATTCCATTCCATAGAATTTGTATGCTGTTCTAAAGAATATTAGTTTCAGCCCTTTCATTCATTCAAACCGCGTGTTGGAAGTAAGTTTTGTAATATTGCGTGTTGGTTTCCAACATCCTTAAATCGGTGATGCCAGTAAATTTTTAATACAAAAAGATCAGTAACATCTGCAATAAAAACAGCAGTACCCACTCAAATGACAGCTGGGGGATGGATACTCTTAGTATCTGATCCGTCGCGTACCTCTTACAGTCTTACCAGTTTACATAAGTGCCAATTGGTATCTGCGCTCAGCCTGAGAAAAAAAGTTTCGGACTGCAGTTGGCGTGACGAAATGTTTTTAAAGTTATATTCTACAATAAGATTATTTGATTGCATACTACTGAAAGTTCCGCCTCATATGTCTTTTCCCATTGCATTATTCCTTTACTGATATTCGATAATATGACGCTCATCTGACATAGTTCTTAAAGTGTGTTGATGGGTATAATCTTTTCCACGCTGTTCAGATGGTATTGCGCGAATATATATAAGAATTGCTAATATTGGTTTGCAATGCGATGAAATCCCATCTTGGCATTTCTGCTTCTCGCAATTGCTGCGTATACTTATCGGGGAAGTTCTGTGGCGTGGTTATCAAATGAGAAAAAAAAACATGGGAGTATTTTTCTACTTCTCTACTACTATCAAACCTTGACATTTTGTGAAACTTTTTTCCATGCAACCTTTTTTTAAAACATCCCAACAACCACAATTAATTCAGTTATTAAACTTCCGAAACAAACACATAAAATCATCAACAGATGCATATCACCAAGTAGATATTGCTGAATTGATCTTTATTTTACCATTTTTCATGTAATTCTTTTTGGTAAACCTGTTATCTATCGTAAATACAGCACATTTGACAATGTTGTAGTGTGACTTTTTTGGCCTCACATTTTTGATATTTGTAGTTAGAGCTCTTGGGGCTCTGTCAAACAAAGTTACATACAAAATATTGGTTGTAAATTGCAAAACATGATCATGTTGTTGGAATAACTTGGCATTTTACCACCCGTATATCATTCATTGTTGAGAATATTAATAAAATCATAAAATTTAAAAATCCGTTTTCGTGAAATTTTTGTTGTAGCTGAATTCCAGGGACAGCATGACAACAGGCAAGAGAAGCACGGTCGCCTCTTTTAGTTTATGACAGGGTTTCTTAAAAGGGGACCCCGTCCTCCTTGGAGGCCGCTGATCGGTTATCTGGGAGCACGAACAAACAGATGGAAATGCGAATATAATAACAATACATATTATTTTTTATAGAAGAGAAGAAGCAAAAGTGTTGAGAGTCTTTGGTAGTTTGAAAAGCATTGGCATGGAACATAAGAATGAACTACATTCTTTCCCAGGGATATACTATAAAATGTAGCAATTTTCTCATTCTTGTTCTCGTGATATCATTATCTTTCACTGCGTCGTCGTGATCATCCCGCTGCATAACAATTCTCGCTAACAAATAATTGACTGTTCTCCACCGGGTGTATATCCACTTGAACCACTGGCGACTGCATTAGCAGGCTTGTATTGTTAATTGCAACAAAAACGGGTATTTTGAAATAGTACTCTTTATTTTACGCGTATGTTTCGACAGTATTTCCATATACTGTATATGGGTCGCGACCCAAAGCTGGGCTCAACAAATACCTAAAAGTTATTGATTTTATTTCCTAGTAAATTTGGTGCTTGCGTAGTTTGTGCACCAAAATTGCGCACAACCTGAACATAGTAGTTACATAGTTCAGGTTGTGCGTCATTATGATGCACAGGTTTGACGAAAAACACTGTACAAATATCGAGCCGTAAAAAAATTGCTCAAGGCTGCAAACTCCACACCCATGTAGAAATGATGGGCAATGACCCCAAGATGAATAATCACAGATAAAAAAAACTTTATGTCTGAAATCAAACTTGGGCCAAAAAGGTCCCCTTATCTGCCGGACTAAATACTGCAAGTGATGATTTGAATAACCCAAGCAAGACAAACATCGTTTCATTCAACGCTGGCCTAAAACGTATCAGTGATGCAGAAAACTACGGTAGATGTTATATTTGGAGTTTTTCAGTCAAGTTTCTTTTAGTAGGTAACAGACAATTTCTTGAATATCAAGGCAAGAATACTCTTCAAAACGATCTGGAATCCACCAAGGATCACTCCAGTGAGTCAGAGCCTGAATATTTCTAATGAAACAGAAGTAACAACAAAATAAATTGGACATTATCGAAAGTCAAATTTTCAAACCCACGTAAAAATATTCCTTTACTCTTTTTAATTGATTCTTTTTGGAAAATATCAATCAATATCAATTTCTAGCCATTACAGATTACACCTTTGTAATTGTCAAGAAGAATCCAGTCTGATTCGTGCATGTCCTCGCCATGTGCGGTCGACTTTTATTGACAATGCTAGGGTACTAACAGAGATCGGGTGTGGTGGAGAAAAACGATGCTTTTTTAATGTTGTTTTTTTCTCATTATTTCAATAACTTGAAACACATGTTTTTTTGCCTCTGGAAATTTCAAATTTCTTCCCAGCAGTTGAATAGTCTGGATATTTTTTAATAATTTTAATTTGAACGTTGTCTTAATATTAATTTGAACGTTGCGATATCGAAGGTTCTGTTATAATATAAGCGAGCACACTCAATCGGCTGTTTGCATCTTCGGGTCGTATGACATAGATAAAACTGGTTATGCAAATTTATTTCAAAATAGACCGGATAGAGCCGGTTAAATATCGCTTCTTCTTTTCGTTTATTTTTGTTGCATCGCTGTTAGCGTGTTATAGCATTTATTATGTAAATAAAAGCAATCGCAGTCAAGGTAATTTCTAATTTATTATTCCATAATTTCAACTCCGGTATCGTTGAAATATTTGACAACTTACTCCTTACAGTTTACACTATGATCCCCGACCAAAATTAGACTGCGTTTAGTCATTATCAACACACCACACTTAATTGTGCATGCCTATCAGGAATTATTTTTACCATTACAACTCAACGTCAGTTAATAGAGATAAACATCGCCACAGGCTAGATTTTATTCGTGATAAGCTCTGTCGGAGCCTGAAAGCGCCACCCGGTACCAAAACTTTGTAGCATTTAGTAGTAGCTACAACAGAAAGTTAAGGAGAACTTAATAATAAATATATTTTTTAACTTGCAAGTCGTATCGCAGTAGATGCTGTTATTTTTCTGAGGAACATATGATGCTGATCCCATATAAAAAATTTTATACATTATTAAAGTTAGTAAATTCTTAACGACGGTAAATAATGATTTAAGCTATCATATACAATGCAAAATAAAGGGGGGGGGGGGGGGGGGGATTTGCTACGCGATTGGAATCACGCTAAGCAAGTGAGATCGCATCCCAGGGGCACCTAGAAATTGTATTTTGATCAATACTAGAAAATTTTATTTTTACGATTAAAGCGGATTAAATCATTGCGTAGATCTTTGTAGATTAGTTCAGTCTACCCGAAGATAGTTGGATATCGCCATGCATTCGATACTGTATACCTTGTGGGTCTGCAGTACAATAGCTGTGAAGTCTTTGTCAGGTATATATATATGTTTTAAAAATATTAGTTAGACGAGCCGTTTGATCAATGATGAGTCATAACGGGTTTTTCCTATAGGGATAGACCTTGCAAAATTAAATTATTTACTTTTGTTTGCATAAATAATTGCGTTCAATCGCGGATTTTCTGTAGAATAAATCAGTAATACACTAGTACCAAAGGTTAGAATAATTGAAAGATAAAGATTTATGAATCCTGCTCTAGTGACACTGAAATGTGGGTACTCCCGAAGTGTGTGTACCCGTACTATTACTATCACTCCCGTACTATCATGAGTTCGGGGACTGTTTGTGTTAGCCAATTGAATATACCTCTGCCCATAGGCTTCAGTCCCTTTACACAACCTGGTGTAAAGTAGACGAACAAAATTAGTTACCTCCATATTGGTACACACAATTCTGGAGCGCCGAATTGTTTACTTCAAAATTTAGGGGGGAACTGTAATTCTTTCGAATATCTTCAAATCTTTTTACTAGCTCAAGACTGTACTACGGACGGGTGTCAAAATGGAGGGGTCTGCGAAATTAATGGAATATGCACCTGCACAGGCGTTTGGATGGGACCACTCTGTGGCGAAAGTAAGTCATTCGGATAGCTTTTACTGGTTTCCTAAACCCGATACCTAACGCATACCTATACCAGATGCTACCAGGCAAAACTTAGCGGTAACTGAACTGTATGAAACAGTTTAGTGTTCACTGAATGTGGACCACCACCATACATAGTCGTTTTTTCCTCATGATTTCTATTACTCATCTGTGATGTCATAGACAAGGTCTTTTTGCTCTCTTGTTATGTTCACATTAGCATTATACTCTAGGGCAGGCCTGCCCAACCTTTTTTCCTCTCGCGGGCCACTTTCACATAAGAAAATTCGTTGCGGGCCGCAAACGTTTGTACCAAAATTTAATACCAACCAAGTCCTAATTTTGTTAGAATTTATATAATACATAGAAGGCAAGATTGTTAACATAAAATCAATCACGTTAATAATTATTTACTGCATGGTTACTCATCAGTGCTGGCGAAATATTCGAATATAAAGTCGAATATTAAAATAGCAGTTTAATATTCGAATATCTGGTAACACAAGGCGTGGACATGACACTCGCGGGCCGCTGAATCAAAAAATCAATCATTACACAACCCACTTGTGAATTTCTGACGACCACACGAGAATCTGCACAGAGTTACTAACAAGACGTGAACCCTTATACTCCATATAATCGACTCCTATGAGTCTGTAAAAATTTGTAGAATCGATGTTGGCACGAGAATAAGCCTTCAAACCACTAAGAAAGATATTGAATCAAGTTTGGATACAAAATTTATAATTCGCGCTTAAAGTTATCATATATTTGTTTTTTACGTTGAAACGTACTTGACCTAAATATATTAAGAAGAATCAATACTTCCCATATTATTGAATACTTTACATAGATATTTGTCCAGTGGTTGCATGTAGTTTTTGAGTTACCATTTACAATGCTATTCTCATGAGCCGCAAAAATTAATTTGTGAAAGCAGAGCAAACAAGGAAAACAGTTGGTTAGTCAAATAATTTTCACTTCCACCTCGCCTTTAATAATGACAAGCGCGCAATTTCTTAACGCAAGAGCAATCTGCAGTGCTTAACGTGTCAAGGGTGTTTTTCTCAAGTATCACATTGTTGCATTAGTAGCGGTAACATTCAACAAAAATCCCTACTTGAAATTATTTTCATTATATGTTTTCATGAAATTTTCACATTTAAGTTTTGTGCTTTTATATTAGCTGCTTGTGATTCCTTACCTTGCTTGAACGGTGGAGTGTGCACTCCTAAAGATATGGGAAGTTTTGAATGCACTTGTAAACTGGGAACGACAGGAACAACTTGTAGTACGCGTGAGTCATTTTTATAATTTTACCTATTAAGTACAATTCTAGGTTGTAAATAAGGATGTAAGTTTCAGAATTTCGAATCGAATAAAATATTCGAAACTTACATTCCTAGTTGTGAATGAACGTATTGTTTAATTTGATAGCTTGTGAAAATATAATCACCTGTCAATGAAATTTTATTTTTTTAAATTTTATTCGTACTCTCGTGTTGCGTTTAAACTTAAAATTGTCAATGTATAAAAATATTTTGAATTGCATTGTCATTTTATATTCGTGGCAGTTTTGTTATCAGTTCCAGAGGCCTTATATCAAACTACGGCCCGCGGGCCAAATCCGGCCCGTTGGGTAATTCAATCTGGCCCGCCTGATTCTGTCACAACTAAACTAAAACCGAATTCTTATGTTAAGCTATGAAATAGCTCAAGGAATTTGTTAAATTCAGTTCTGTCACAAGGCTCATTGTTTTCCACTTTGGCTTTTGTAACACTGTAAATATTTTCCGTAAAAAGTAACTTTTTACGTTATACTTACATGCCACGCCAGTCTAGTTGAGCAAAATTTATGGCCCCTGTTCTAAAAACCGTGCCAACCCTTGCCTTATATCCACATAAAATAAATAAATGCTACCGGACACAAAGTGGATCTATGGATCGTTTTGTTATTATGTTGTTCTCGTTGGTATTTTGCCTCCTATCGTTATGAAAATATTCGTTTTTCACTTTTATTACCAGACCAATTGCTTTGAAATTTTCAGTGGTGAAAGATTGTTTTACTTTTATTCATTTCAAAATTTCTTGTTGATTCTATGAAATTCGTTTTTTTATGTGCGATTATGTTTTTTTTATTTAAAATTGAAAATTGCTTCTTGTGGTGGTATAGAGATGTGTTTATATTCTTTTATGAGAATATAAGGAGAAACACTATGCACTGGTGTTGCGTTATATTCAGCCCCAGGGTATATAACGTGCTATTGTCTGTTTTTAAATCTCATACCAAAATATTTTAAAAGGTTCGTGATTGAGCTCACATGTTTTGATAGTGGCCAATTCTAATACCAATCTGAATTTTCCCATTACGCACTTCGCATTTAGGGATTTTAACTACAACGAATTACTTCTTAATCGAATAGGATTGACCATGCCACAGAATATTTCTAATCGTTGTAAATTTTAATATTCGGAAGTCGAATATTAATTATTAGTATTAAATGCCAATTTCTTCCATCATTCAAACTGAAGCAAAAGTGAAATTTGAAAGTAATCATATTATTTGAAATCAAATACATTTTTGACAAAGACTCTGTAACTCGCTGTTACCTAACCAATTTTTCTGCTTCCAGCTGTTACCCCAGTAACGGACTCGAGATGTACTGCAACGGTTCCTGCTAATGGTTGTGAGATTATATGTCTGTCGAATGACGGCTGTGAATCTAACGAATTGTGTTGTCCAGACCAAGGTTGTGGAACGGTTTGTTGGCCGTTTGACCCATGCGACTCATCACCGTGTGAAAATGGCGGAACGTGCGTTGCAGACGGAAGAGATTTCACCTGTCTGTGCAAGAATGGATTTGAGGGAGAAGTTTGTGAATCACGTAATATAATATTTTGATATATTCTAACAGTATATCAAGCTAACTTGATCACCCAAGTGAGTCGAAAACCTGAAAATTGACTTGTAATAAAGACTTGTAATAAAAGCAGAACTTAAAGGTGATAACAAAATCAATTGGACAATATCAAGTGTCAAATTTTCGAACCCATTTACAAAAAAAATGTTCACCCTTTTTTATTGATTCACTTTGGCAAGCATCAATTTCTACATTTAAAACAAATGCACTTTTGACTGAAACTCTGCAACTCTCGGTTACCTTACCAATATTTCTGCTTCCAGCTGTTACCCCAGTGACGGATCCGAGATGTGTTGCACCGCCCGCTGCTAGTGGTTGTGAGATTCAATGTGTGGAGAATGGCGACTGTGAATCTAACGAATTGTGCTGCCCAGGCGGGGCTTGTGGGACGGTTTGCATGGCGTTTGACACATGTGACCCATCACCATGTCAACACGACGGAATCTGCGTTGCCGACGGAAGAGATTTCACCTGTAAATGCAAACTTGGATTCATGGGAACATTTTGTCAAATAAGTAATACGATTGGTTGATATATTTTAATTTTATATATGAGGCTAGATACCGGCGATTTTTATGCGGCGGATATTGACGACCTTTATACAATCTCTAAACTGAGGAGTTACTTTTATTTGCTTTTTCTGGTTTGGCGTTGTCGATTCAATTTATCACACCATATGTGAGGTGGGGTCATGAGCTAAGAGTTGTGTAATCTGCGAGGCCCAACACTGTTTACCTAACTGTCCGTCCGCTACGCCATCGCGTCACCACAAATTATACTTGCTAGTGCCCTAGGGTTTATGTTCATGTGGTATATTTATTTATTCAGGTATGGTTTGATAAACAATAACATTACTTATCTTAACAATTTGTTTTAAAATTTTATGTTGTACATTTTTGTCTCGTAGATTTTAGAACATATTAATTTTTATATACTTCTGAAGTTTTCAATTCTTAAAAAAATTAGATTTGTTAAATCGAATTTGGTTTCAAAATAAACGAGAGAGCAATGCTCAAATATACGGACACGAAGACCCAAAGGAAGTAGTATCAAGCCTTTTATGGTACCAGTAGTCTGACCACCAGTTCACTGAGATGGGATCACGGAGCTACGGCACGCAATTTTTTATGACGTCATTACACAAAACTTGGAAACAAACAACGAATCCCATAGATCCCACAGATATTTTTGAAATAAATAAAAGTAATAGCCTTCTGGCGACAACACCAAAAATTAAACACTAAATATTTAAAAGCAATTGGTTCAGTAGTTGAAGAAAAAAGCGATTTTTACACAACAGCAACATAATAACAGCGATCGTGAGGTCCATTTCGTGTACAATGATGGGTACTCCCGTACGTCTTCCAGGTTAGGGTTAGGCCATAATTTCATTCCGCTTTTTCCTTATTTTAGTTTTGTTACAAGTTCGGGGACGGTCTGTGTTAGCAAAGTGAATATACTCCCATAGGTACTCATAGGTTTCATTTAGATACCTCCACACATACTTCTCGAGCGCCGAATGATAAAGTCCGTCAAACTATAAAAGCGTCGGTTCATCCATAGATATTAGCATTAAAATACAGTATTTTCAATAAATAATACCTATTTGATAATTTTCCAGCTGATGACGTCGAAATTGATCCGAAATGTCCAGAACCAGAACCCGTGATATGTGTAAGAATGGGCGATATAGAATGTCTGAACAACGAAGGCTGTGAAAGCGGAGAAATATGCTGCGCTGGTAGCTGCGGGGGAACTCAATGCATCGAACCCAAGAAAAAAAATCTAAGTATTTCCGATTTATTACTGAAAATTCTATTTGAATATCACGATAACAATTATTGGACGGATCGAGATCTACGGGCCGTTTGGCTGGAACGTTGTTGTTGTGACTTCTCTTTTTAACCCCACTTTTCCCAGCCGGGAAGAAATCTCTTTTCGGGGAAGAATTTTGTTGTTATTGAGAATGAATTTTGATTTGTATTTTTGTATTATTACCGATATTCTTTAGTTATTCAATTATACTATATTACTTATTTATGTACATATTATAATCTACTTAAACGACTTGCGCTTAATTAACGATAGCTGCGGATCCATTGAAGATTTAGTAAATAAGATCTTTTTATGTTGAGAAGTTCTTCAATAGATGAAGGAATACATTTAACGGGGTAGGTTGGCAACCACTACCTTAACTTTAGCTACTGATACACATTTCTCAAATTTTCTATAGATATGGGGATAGTGTAGCTATGAGACTTTTACCTGTTTGTTTTTTTAATTTTGTTTTTGTTGGTAAATAGCTAGCAGACCTTTGTTGCAGTATTCAGTAAGTTATACTTTTATTCACAATATCTCAAGTTTCTGTTTTGTTTTCACAGATTTGCTCACCTTCGCTTTTATAGCCCTACTGTCTCGACCCAAACAATGCCCGAGGGACTGCTTATATAGGGCTTGTCACACTGGACATATCTGCCCCACGCATATCTACGCCACTTGTGGCACTGTGTGTCCCGATTGTCGTCCACGTTTCTATACCAAGTGGAATCAAGATATATCGTCACTTTGTAAGTCATTTTTCAGTTAATTTTGTGTGTGTTCTTATCCCATTGCGATTTTGGATCTTTTGTACAAAGCCTCGCCACTAATGCAAAAAGTGAGATTAAAGAAATCACCCCACGACGTTTTAAGATGACAAATTAGTAATTACCCACTTACTTTGTAAGTCATTTTTCAGTTTATTGAACATTTTCGTGTATTTTTATCCCATTGCGATTTTTGTGGATGTATTATGACAAACTTAAATTCATAATATCGTCATGAAAATTCGAAGGTTGTTGAGAGCCGAATACTATATTTTTTTAATTAATACTTGAAACTTGACTTTTGTTCCATCAAGAAATACTCAAAATTAGATTTCTTTGAGATTGTAAATTGATAAGACATGATTTTATCACCAACTTGATTTATGTATTTCAAAATGAACATTTATTTCGCAACAGGCCAATGTCCATACCATGTTCCTCGAGTTTCTCACTGCGGAATGCATTTATGCACCCAGTCTCATTGCTATGGTAACCCCGCTTTGGAATGCAGAATCAGCAGCTGTGGAGGATGCAGGGCCGGATACTTCGACATTTACGGTCGTGAAATTCTATCTTGCAATCAACCACGTGGGATAGCGGTCAGCTATGTTCAAAGATAATGCCATCTCTGATGCAAGTTCCAATTTTTAACCGGATAAACCGTTTCTTAGATTCATTCTGTTCTATTCGTACCTATTTAAACTGCAACCTTCAATACAGGAGGGCCAAATTCAAAAACATGGGCGAACCCGCAAGCCACACATTTACCTAACATATAGGCTTTCTAGCAGTTGCAGACACACACATTTTGATTATAAATTTTGTGACATGCATTGTTTGCTTTCCATAAACTCAGATGTACTTTGGAATTGGAATTCTTGCACGTACTAAATTGAACTAAATTAAAAACTTGTATCGCGGGAAGCACACCATTAAAATTGACACTTCTCCGCGGGCCACACAAGTTTTCCTTTTGTGCCTCATTTGACGCGGGCGCAGGTTGCACACCCCAAATTTAGAGGGCTTATATTCTCAGAAATTCCAGCAGTGCAATTCAGAGATCGTAGTTACAAGTTTGATAGTTTTTCGTCTTTTTAAATTTTCCTCTTGCACTTAGAAGCGAATTTGTCTCTAAAAATGTTGATATTAGAATAACGTGAACAAATTTTAGCATATGTTAAATTTTTCTGTTTTTGGAAATAAATTTTCCTCCAACATTCAAGGACTTCATGTTTAATTGATACAAACACTGTTATATTATTTTGAAGTGGATCACACACTCGCTTATATTATCACACTGTATGCCTTATGCGCTAGGAAGTTTTATCTTTACAAGACCGCAATAGTGTAAGTCTGTAAGAAGATAAGTGTGTGAGTCTGTCAAACAAGATAACAGACTTCAGATTCAAAATGGTGGGCGTGAGCGCAATTATGAATTTTTAGAATGGAATTCATCCAATTAAATAATAAAATGATAAAGTCATTTTTCAGTAGCACCGAATAGCCAAAGTCTACCTGCAGCGCAATTTTTAAAATTGTGGTGAATACAGTCGTCGACAACCAGCAGTTATTTAAATAAACGCTGATACTAAAATAACCTTATATTTGGGTATAGGTTAAAACCACAATTCTGTGTATCATCATCTTACCATGAGTCACCAACATGCACCTAAGGGCGATATGTGAATCAAACAATTGATACGTGCATTGATGAAAGACACGATCAATGACACGATTACGAACTTTTGATTCCATCCGGGACAGATAAGACTAGTCATATTATAAGACTATCATACACAAACTATCATAACTTCGAGTATTCAAATTAACAAAAATTAAAAAAAAATACTCATATGCTTAAATAACTGAAAATAGGTGAAAATATTCTCAAACAGTCATTTTAAAACAGTGATTCTCAAACGGTGCGGCGTGTCCCACAAGGGGTGCGTGGACAATTTTTTGAGGGGCATAAAACTAATCAAAAAAAAATAATAATTTGTTAGATTTGACCTTAACCGCCTTATTTTGGATATTTACGTTCCATTCACGTATTTTCAACGTGTTTTTTGAATAAAACATACTTTCGCCTTACTATCTGTTATTTGTAGCTTATTGGTAGCTAGTTATTTTTAAAGGTGGGGCGCGAGACTTGACAAATTCTGAATAGGGAGCGGCTTGAAAAGTTTGAGAACCACTGTTTTAGATGCAATAAATCAAACATCTTCTTCATTGGTTTTACATTCAGTAACATTACTTGAACTTAAATTGTTTTCTTGATGTTTTCCGTCGCAACATTTGCAATGTGGATAACATGGCAGCATCCTATCCTTCCAGTCGTCAAAGCAAAGAAGCAGACACCACAAATTGAAAGCTACATTGACATTATAAACCACCGATAATCCAAATTTAGATAATACAACAAATGCGAGAATGTAGAGGTCAGTTTGTTACTCAGTTTGTTGATTTAAATAAAAAATAATACTGTAAAAACATTTCACTCTTACTTGACCTTCAATTTATTCGTTTTCATGTATAACAACATCTATAATTTATTTATTTTTTCAAATTATTTATGAATTTTGGGACAAGGAGCTTCATTACCAGAAACTCACCCCGGGTAGCAGAGAAGTTTAATAACACGCCTCTGCTCGCAACATAGATATAGCTACTTCTCTGAAACGTGCTTAAACAGAATGTCGAGCAACATTACATAAAAAAAATTGGAAGATAAAAATATTCATAAAAATATTTCATTTTAATAAATATTGAGTTGCTGAAATCATTTGCTCGTATAAACATTAAATCTAATATCTGAAGTAATTTACAAAACATATTTGATAAAAAGGATTACAGGATCTTTTATACAAAGCACCCGCCAAAATGCAACCCCGCACGGCTAAAAATTAAAAAAAAAATAGTTAATATCCAGTTAGGGTTAGATGAGGGCTAGTAATGCTGATTGTGCTGAAACATTTTTCATTAGTGGCAGGGGGGATTTGCACAAAAAATCCGAATTACAAACCGCCTTGCTTTCATTGCGTTCAAATATTGCATCGCGAAAACAACGTTCCTTCGTAAACTTTTCTTGCACTAATCACAGTCACGAGTTCTAATAAATAATCTAATCGTATAGAACATTTGTGACCCTGTTTAAACTATACAGTCATAATGGAATTTTTGTCTTATTGAAATAGTGATAAGATACATGCGAAATGAGTAATTGAAATTTCCAAATTATCGCCGAATTTCCATGCATTGTGTTTATTCAAATTAGGAAGAATTTGCCAAATCGACAAACAGCCTATTCAGAAAACATAGCTGTACTTAATTAACCCATATGGTGCTGCGACTCTAAGGTCTCTATTAGCACAATACATATATACAATTTAGCACGCAGTACTTCTACCCAAGCCATGTCTATAATGAAAGTATATATATATAAGCGGTCGTAATAAGTGACTTCCGTGGGACAAATCAAGAATGATAATTCTATTTGATTCAAGAGTCTTGCCGCACGCCAACACACATGAATTTCTCTAACGTTTTCTAAAAAATCGCATCAACATCGGAATCTCAAATTACCATGCAATGCCTTTAGAGCGGTCGCCGCGTTTGCGCATTTAACGGAGTAGGTTGGCAACCACTACCTTAACCTTAGCTACTGATACACATTTCTCAAATTTTCTATAGATATGGGGATAGTGTCGCTATGAGACTTTTACCTCTGTTTTTTTTAATTTTTTTTTTGTTGGTGAATAGCTAGCTCACCGGTATGTATATCTGAAGGTGACTTTGTTGCAGTATTCAGTAAGTTATACTTTTATTCACAATATCTCAAGTTTCTGTTTTGTTTTCACAGATTTGCTCACTTTCGCTTTTATAGCCCTACTGTCTCGACCCAAACAATGCCCGAGTGACTGCTTATATAGGGCTTGTCACACTGGACATATCTGTCCCACGCATATCTACGCCACTTGTGGCACTACCTGTCCCGATTGTCGTCCACGTTTCTATACCAAATGGAATCAAGATATATCGTCACTTTGTAAGTCATTTTTCAGTTTATTTTGTGTGTGTTCTTATCCCATTGCAATTTTGGATCTTTTGTACAAAGCCACTAATGCAAAAAGTGAGATTTAAGAAAACACCCCACGACGTTTTAAGATGATAAATTAGTAATTACCCACTTACTTTGTAAGTCATTTTTTTAGTTTATTGAACATTTTCGTGTATTTTTATCCCATTGCGATTTTTGTGGATGTATTATGACAAACTTGAATTCATAATATCGTCATGAAAATTTGAAGGTTGTTGAGAGCCGAAAAACTATATTTTTTTAATTTTTTTTTTTTTATAATTAATTTTTTTAAAAAAGAAACCTTTCACGAAATACTTGACTTTTGTTTCATCAAGAAATACTCAAAATTAGATTTCTTTGCAATTGTAAATTAATAAGACATGATTTTATCAACAACTTGATTTATGTATTTCAAAATGAACATTTATTTCGCAACAGGCCAATGTCCATATCATGTTCCTCGAGTTTCTCACTGCGGAATGCATTTATGCACCCAGTCTCATTGCTATGGTAACCCCGCTTTGGAATGCAGAATCAGCAGCTGTGGAGGATGCAGGGCCGGATACTTCGACATTTACGGTCGTGAAATTCTATCTTGCAATCAACCACGTGGGATAGCGGTCAGCTATGTTCAAAGATAATGCCATCTATGATGCAAGTTCCAATTTTTAACCGGATAAACCGTTTCTTAACCGATTCATTCTGTTCTATTCGTACCTCAGTATAATACACAAGACATTATGGCTATATGTTGGCTATTCACAAAGGTCTGTTACCTATTTAAACTGCAACCTTCAATACAGGAGGGCCAAATACAAAAACATGGGTGAACTCGCAAGCCACACATTTACCTAACATAGGCTTTCTAGCAGTAGCAGACACAAAAATTTTGATTATAAATTTTGTGACATGCATTGTTTGCTTTCCATAAACTCAGATATACTTTGGAATTCTTGCTAAACACTAACGTACGTAACGTAACGTACTAAATTGAACTAAATTAAAAACTTGTATCGCGGGAAGCACACCATTAAAATTGACACTTCTCCGCGGGCCACACAAGTTTTCCTTTTGTGCCTCATTTGACGCGGGCGCAGGTTGCACACCCCAAAATTAGAGGGCTTATATTCTCAGAAATTCCAGCAGTGCAATTCAGAGATCTTAGTTACAAGTTTGATAGTTTTCCGTCTTTTTAAATTTTCCTCTTGCACTTAGAAGCGAATTTGTCTCTAAAAATGTTGATATTAGAATAACGTGAACAAATTTTAGCATATGTTAAATTTTTCTGTTTTTGGAAATAGATTTTCCGCCAACATCCAAGGACTTCAAGTTTAATTGATACAAACACTGTTATATTATTTTGATGTGGATCACACACTCCGCTAGGAAGTTTTATCTTTACAAGACCGCAATAGTGTAAGTCTGTAAGAAGATAAGCGTGTGAGTCTGTCAAACAAGATAACAGACTTCAGATTCAAAATGGTGGGCGTGAGCACAATTATGAAGTTTTAGAATGGAATTCATTCAATTAAATAATAAAATGATAAAGTCATTTTTCAGTAGCACCGAATAGCCAAAGTCCACCTGCAGCGCAATTTTCAAAATTGTGGTGAATACAGTCGTCGACAACCAGCAGTTATTTAAATAAACGCTGATACTAAAATAACCTTATATTTGGGTAAAGGTTAAAATCACAATTCTGTGTATCATCATCTTACCATGAGTCACCAACAGGCACCTACGGGCGATATGTGAATCAAACAATTGATACGTGCATTGATGAAAGACGCGATCAATGACACAATTACGAACTTTTTGTAAAGTTGACAATACAACTCAGTTCAAAGGCAATACATCGATTAATACAGATTAACAAAACCACAAACTAATAATGAGCACGCTGCCCAAACAGTAAAAACAGAAGACAAACACAATAGAAAATTATTCACGCCTGAGCGAACATGATAAATGAAGCAAAACGAAAGTGAAAGAATGCAGTGCTTGAAATGAATAAAACAGAACAGTAACACTTTTGACTCCATCCGGGACAGATAAGACTAGTCATATTATAAGACTATCATACACAAACTATCATAACTTCGAGTATTCAAATTAACATCCCGTAAAATAACGAATTTTGTATCGTTAATTGAATGAGTCGTTTATCATAAATTCAATTCAACATTCAAGAATGTTCCTGCATCGACCTAATACATCATCGTACTCAAACAAATACACAGAATTAGAATAATTCATCGCCATTATACCCTCATTTTGACTTTATTTAAAATTGGATATAAATGAAATGTAACAGTTCAATTCGTTTTTTTTACCACTTTGAAACTTCAATTTTTTTTTTAAATCAATAAAGGCTGTATCATGAGCATCAGTGATCACTAAAACAAATAAATATTTACACATCAAACAGTAAAATGAAACTTATAATTTCCAAAAAAAAATACTCATATGCTTAAATAACTGAAAATAGGTGAAAATATTCTCAAACAGTCATTTTAAAACAGTGATTCTCAAACGGTGCGGCGTGTCCCACAAGGGGTGCGTGGACAATTTTTTGAGGGGCATAAAACTAATCAAAAAAAAATAATAATTTGTTAGATTTGACCTTAACCGCCTTATTTTGGATATTTACGTTCCATTCACGTATTTTCAACGTGTTTTTTGAATAAAACATACTTTCGCCTTACTATCTGTTATTTGTAGCTTATTGGTAGCTAGTTATTTTTAAAGGTGGGGCGCGAGACTTGACAAATTCTGAATAGGGAGCGGCTTGAAAAGTTTGAGAACCACTGTTTTAGATGCAATAAATCAAACATCTTCTTCATTGGTTTTACATTCAGTAACATTACTTGAACTTAAATTGTTTTCTTGATGTTTTCCGTCGCAACATTTGCAATGTGGATAACATGGCAGCATCCTATCCTTCCAGTCGTCAAAGCAAAGAAGCAGACACCACAAATTGAAAGCTACATTGACATTATAAACCACCGATAATCCAAATTTAGATAATACAACAAATGCGAGAATGTCGCTTAAAATTGTTATAGGAGTAATTATCATCGATCTTTTTAATAGGTTAATAGACTTCTGTTGTAATCTTTGACCCTTGAAAGATTTTTTCAACGTTTTTCTATGACGAAATAACGGAATTATAAACAATGCAAGGGTACAAATTTGAGTTTCAATTTGATAAAGAAGAAAACAAAATGTTATCCATGTTGGTAAACAAGTCAATCTTATCACATTATTTTGAATGCCATAATATCCAATCACAATACTAAAAAACAAATTGAAGAATAACATGAAAAATCCTTGAAATCGACTGAAATTATGCAACGGTTTTGATGAAAGATGCCTCAAAGATGGTTCGCTGTGAAACATTGTCTGACGAAGCCACAATATGAGATACTCCGATGTAAATGCCCACTGTGATAGAAGCACGTCAGCTATATAAGTTGGGCTGTTGATATTTCGATGAATAATAAACACCGCGACCATTTTAGATAAGGCAACTAGGCCAGTAAAAACAAGTGTAAAACTCATCACAGATCGAAGGTTCGAAGACAGCAAAAGGTCCGTGCATTTTCCAAGTTGAAGTTTAAATAATCTCTTCGAAATAAGAACGTAGATCTGACAGAACGTTAAATAAATCAAAATCATTGTTACGACTATGTCCACGTAGAATTTCTCACCGAGTACATCTTCAAAGGATTTAGAGAAACTGTTGGAATTGTTCTTCGAGCAGTTCATACTTGATTCCGTGTTTCGTGATAAAATCTAGATTTCAGCAGCGAATCGAAATTTTGACTGACAGTTAATGACACAATCTGACAAAACAAATCAAATGATTAATAAATTTTGGGGCAATGTAGACAAAAGTCTAAATTATGGTAACTCGCAACCATGGGCGTGTCTAGAGGGGACCATAGAGGCAGCCGCTCCGGGGAGAATGTTGTAGAGGTCAGTTTGTTACTCAGTTTGTTGATTTAAATAAAAAATAATACTGTAAAAACATTTCACTCTTACTTGACCTTCAATTTATTCGTTTTCATGTATAACAACATCTATAATTTATTTATTTTTTCAAATTATTTATGAATTTTGGGACAAGGAGCTTCATTACCAGAAACTCACCCCGGGTAGCAGAGAAGTTTAATAACACGCCTCTGCTCGCAACATAGATATAGCTACTTCTCTGAAACGTGCTTAAACAGAATGTCGAGCAACATTACATAAAAAAAATTGGAAGATAAAAATATTCATAAAAATATTTCATTTTAATAAATATTGAGTTGCTGAAATCATTTGCTCGTATAAACATTAAATCTAATATCTGAAGTAATTTACAAAACATATTTGATAAAAAGGATTACAGGATCTTTTATACAAAGCACCCGCCAAAATGCAACCCCGCACGGCTAAAAATTAAAAAAAAAATAGTTAATATCCAGTTAGGGTTAGATGAGGGCTAGTAATGCTGATTGTGCTGAAACATTTTTCATTAGTGGCAGGGGGGATTTGCACAAAAAATCCGAATTACAAACCGCCTTGCTTTCATTGCGTTCAAATATTGCATCGCGAAAACAACGTTCCTTCGTAAACTTTTCTTGCACTAATCACAGTCACGAGTTCTAATAAATAATCTAATCGTATAGAACATTTGTGACCCTGTTTAAACTATACAGTCATAATGGTATTTTTGTCTTATTGAAATAGTGATAAGATACATGCGAAATGAGTAATTGAAATTTCCAAATTATCGCCGACTTTCCATGCATTGTGTTTAATCAAATTAGGAAGAATTTGCCAAATCGACAAACAGCCTATCCAGCAAACATAGCTGTACTTAATTAACCCATAGAGCCACAGCTGCGTCTCTAAGGGCTCATTAGAACGCTCCATAAACTTAACTATGTATATATAGCCTATTAGCACAATACATATATACAATTTAGCACGCAGTACTTCTACACAAGCCATGTCTATAATGAATGTATATATATATATATATAAGCGGTCGTAATAAGTGACTTCCGTGGGCACAAATCAAGAATGACAATTCTACTTGATTCAAGAGTCTTGCCGCACGCCAACACACATGAATTCCTCTAACGTTTTCTAAAAAATCGCATCAACATCGGAATCTCAAATTACTATGCAATGCCTTTTGAGCGGTCACTGCGTTTGCGCATTGGGTGAAATAGCCTATAATGACGTTTTCTTGTAGCGTTCAATCCATAATAACTACGGGAATTCAAACTGTCTTTCAATATTAATCTAATTTTGTTCAACTCGCGATTGCGTCCACCATAAAAGAACATTACCTAATACATAATGAGACGACACCAAAAAAATGGAAATTATCATACTCGCCGAATAATACGACCCCCACAAAATCAGGTCAAAAATTTGGGTCTAGAAAAGCGACTTATTTGCCGGAAAATACGGTACTTCCCTGTAAAACAGATTTTTGTACTTCACCATTGCACGTATTAGCCCGCCATCCTACAACCATTGCTTTTCCCACCAGCCAAACTGTTTGTGCAAATAGCAAACTGTATGTAATTCAGTGGCGTAGCCAGCCCAAATTTTGGGGGGGGCAAAATTTGAAAATTTTAGAAATTATATTGGGTTTAAAACACCCGTTCTTCAAGCGCAAAACAACAACAGTTGGTCAACAAGCAAACTGATTCAATTACTCAGCTGGATTTTTGTGAATACAAAATCCATTAATAAACAATTTTTTATTTGAAACAACAAATATTAACAACGCAATTTGAATAAGTAAAATACATCGCCCCGATTAAAAGTCCATCCTCCGCTTCCCGCTAACTATGCTCGACACAACTCGATTAATTTTCTCCTCGGTGACCATTTCACGGTGACAGTGAAGCACACACAAATCAGAAAGGCGATTGGACGTCATTGATGAGCGCAGCCATGTCTTTACCCGTTTCATGCAGGAGAAAGACCGCTCAGCCTTAACGGTGGTTGCTAGTAGCGTCATAACGATCTGTATCGCGGTGTACACGCTGGGATAATCTCGAGCGCTCAGAAGAAGCCCCTCCAAACATTCGTCGTTAACGTCGGAACTTAAAGAAGTTCTCCACAGTCTCACTTCATTCTGGAGGTTATCCAATAAATACAGACGCTCTACCTCATCCACGTGAACTGGTTTGTTCGGTGGAAGAATTGATAGCAATGAAAAAAATGATGGGTTGTCAATGAAGCGTTCCCGAATAGAGCAGCTCAAGCCGTCGACGTATGGGAGACGTACGGAACGTTTAAAATACTGGGATGCTGAATCAGCACAGACATTGTCGCGATAAACTTGTACTTCGACTACTCTGGGTATTGTCAACTCTTTCAAGCCAGCTATTTCACAAGCTTCTTTGTAAATATTCAATGCGATTTCAGAGTCATTGCGTTCTTCAGCGATAACGCTCTGAAGAGAGGATGTGAGGTTCTTTACTGACGGCACACTGACTCCGACCGCCTGAAGTGCGCGCGCTAGTGGCTCCATTAGTGCCGAATATCGACCAATCAAACATACGGCGTAGATATCCGACGACTTTTCTAGAGCAGATTTCAGAGAAAAAGCCTTCGCTCGCGTCTCACTGTTAGCATCTCTCGCCAAAGAATCAAGAGCCTCAAGTACTCGTTTGAAGTTGCATTTGAAGATTCGGATGCTCTTGTACTTCTCAGACCATCTGGTGGGGCAGAACAAAGGGATGTTAATTCCTAAACCCGCGCGCCTTTTAGGGCTCTCCCTGAAAAAACGAATAGTCTCACGAATGATATCACAGGTGCTTCTGATGATTGCAACTTTACTTTGGTCATTTATGACCAAATTCAAACAATGAGAAGCGCAATGCACAAATATTGCGCGCGGGTATTTATCACGAATGCGTTTTTGCACACCGCTGACGTGACCTGCCATTGTCGTTGCACCATCATAGCCTTGCCCCACAAGTTTCTGCAAATCCACTCCTATACCAGAGAGGTGGGTCAAAATATTTGAGGAAATCGATTCGGCAGAAACAGAATCCATTTCCACTAATCCTGTGAAGCGCTCGCACACTTCACCACCTTTCACATACCCCAAAACGATGCTTAGTTGTTCTTTCCCAGAAATATCACATTATTCGTCGGCTATTACGGACACAAACGATTTATTAGCCTCCATAACGATATCTTGCACTATCATGTTGCTTGCTACCTTGAGAATTTCATTTTGTATCATCGGGCTTGTATACTTAGCGTTTCCGGCCATTCGAGCGAAATGCCTTTTCAAATCTTCATCCCCTGCGTCGATACGAAATAGAAGAAGGTTCACAAAATTTCCCCTATCCCCGGAATGTCCGCGCAAGGGTATGTTACCCGAAGCACAGAACATGACAGTCTTGACAATGGAAGTCATTATTCGTCTGTTTTCTTTTGTTTGCGTAGCATATTGGGCCTCCATGTTTTCACGCACATTTTGACCAGTTTTCATGCTTTTGACAAAATTTTTCGCAGCTATATTTGATTCTCGGTGGTAATTTGTGTCTCGATGGGCGATACAGCCTTTTCCATAAATTTTTTGTAGTCAATGCATGGTCTTGTAACAAAGGCAGTGTCCCTGAGAGTTCCATGCTTCAAACGTGCTTGCATGACTATGCATATCTTACACAAACCACCCCCATCAGAGAGTTGGGTGTAAACTAACCAACTGCAAAATCTGTTATCGTCAAGCCATTTTTTGAGAAATTTACCACGACTTTGTCTAACAGTATCCAGAATCGTCACGTTTTTCGGACCATCCGAAGTTAGAAGCCTGTATCTCTCCGCATCGGTAAGCTGTGTATGTTTCTTAAGAATGAATCCAAGATCGTTTGTTTTCCCTTCGTTGATTATTAGTTCATCTTCGGGAATAGAAGTGATAGACGTAACTGACGTAACCGGTGCATCCACAGCCTGAGAAGCGCTTATTGATGTATTTGAGGAAAGCGAGTCTTTATTTCGCTGGAAAAAACTATCTAATTTCGCCTGTTTAAATTTAGCCATCGAAGTAATTTGGTCATCAAAATCCAAGCGTTTCGAATAAAAATCCGGCGAGAACAAATCAAGACCGAGTAACTGACCGAAAGCTTGCGAAACAGTCTTTCCCATACGGCTCATAAGAGCGAACGGTCAAGTCTTTGTGACGTAACAATGACAATCAGCAAGCGTGACGAGGCAAGATGCCACAAAACTGGTGGATTAGGAATGGAATTCTTGAAAATTTGGGGGGGGGGCCATGGCCCCTCTGCCCCCCCATGGTTGCGCCTATGATGTAATTTACTCTTACTTACTGTGATATGAAAAGACAAGAGAGCAATGCTCAAATATATGGACACGAAAAGCAATTTTCCGAAAATCATATGAGGTAACTTAATAGTACCTGCATCGGAGATGTGGGAATAAATTTAGTTATCCTCGATGAAGCTGCCGAAGGAATACTCAAAGCACGATACATGAGAAGAGCCACCGCAGCAACACTGTTCCAAAACATATACTGAGAAAAGGCACATAGAATGCAGGGTATTAACCTCTCTATTATGATATCTAGTTTGGTCGTCTGAAATCTTAGATAATATTATACTAAAAAATTCAGCAGCATCAAACATTTCAAACGGCCTAGCATGGTAATCTAGGACAAACAGAGTAAATTCATATGCTGAAAGACATCTTGTTCACTTAGCTGGTGAAAACAGCATTCTGCGTCTTAAAGATATAAGCTTACAGAAATTACAGGCCTGTGTTATTGAGCAAAGACAAAAATCATATTGTACATGAAGTGGGAGACGCAAAAATATTTGTAAAACGCTGTTAACCCAGCAAATATTTTTTGCGTTAGTGAGACCGCGACCACCATATTTTAGAACATGTTGAATGTTGTTGGAAAGGTTGTGATGCTTCCTCCTTGGCATATTTATGTTGTTTGGGTAGAACTGTAACAAAAAGCAAAAAGATGAGAGCGAAATTCACTGCGGTATGGTACCGTACCTACTTAACTTACTGACTTCACAGTCTGCAAGCATCTTACCTGTACACTGTAGGCCATATAATTGATCACAGAACAGTTCTTCCCTTGCAAGTTTTACGTTGTTTTCAGTAGAACTGTAACAAAAAGCAAAGAGATGAGAGCTGAATTCACGGCGGTACCGGTACCCAACGTAGGTGCGGTACTGAGTTAGCAGTCAGCCAGCATCTTACCTGTACACTGTAGGCCATATACGGTAATTGATCACAGAACAATTGTTCCCTTGCAAATTTTATGTTGTTTACACTTCAGGACAGATAATTGATCACAGAACAATTCTTCCCTTTCAAATTTTATGTTGTTTCCAGTAGACTCTCATCTGATTTGTTTTTAGATGTGCATAAGATATATAGAAATCTGCCAAAGTTTTTGACAATAAAAGGAACTACCACATTCTTGAAGACTAGCAGAGGGCGGTCGCCAATTTATCGAAGGTCTGTGTATTTACTATACCTGAGAGTCGCAAGAGACATTTCCACATGTTGGGATAATCCTTGAAATTCATGTTAAGGTTGATTTTGTCTTTGACCTTGATGTCCTAATTTTAGTGTAAATATTTCAATCCATTTATTATTCCAGACCGTTAAGGTCCATATGAAATAAGCTTTGCACTATTTGCACACGAAATTAACATTCAAGAGATGCATAGCATTTAATAAGTACGTGAAATTTATAAAGATAACATTTCTAGCAACAACAAAACTTTTTATTATAATACACGACATCAAGAAATGCCAAATTTTTGCTTCAATTTGTTAAATTTTTCTTTAACGTGGAAATAAACTTTATATTCATCCACCATATTAATCGTTCGTAACTTTTCTCTAGATTTGTCTGTAAGAAAATCTTGCTTTCTAGTTGCGGTCTCATTTTTTCGTTGCTGAAAATTTTGAAAAGCGCGTACTTTCATCACCCCTGTGAAATACCCCGGCAACAATTTTTCTAATAGTAAAAGAGTTGTTTCAAATTCTTCTAAGATACCCACGAACAAATAGTCTTCGTCAATGTGTGTTGTTGCAATTTCAACTCTCTTATGTTCATCCGGTTGTAAACATGGAGGATCATGCACACCACAAAAATACAATCCTATGTAAAACATCATTTCAGAATTAGGATCACAGACTCCAACACTTTTGTCTACACAATCGTTTATATCTTCCAAGTCAGATTGCGAACCAGTTTTTACTTCGCCCTGAAGGTCTCCGTATTTGAGATAATTATAATGAGAAGCAAATCTTTCAATCGGGTCTCGTATCATGTTAATATAAATAGGCTTCTTGAGATGATATCGTTTAAAATCTAAATAATGAATATGCCTGTTGTAAAACGAGGGTGGAACAAGGTTATTAATCGTCATCATTTCTTGCAAAGACTCATAAACACCTGGATGTTCAACTGCCGTTACCAGTGATTCCTGGACCCAAAAATTGTTGCGACCAGACAGATGATTAACTAACGCCATAAGAGCTCTACTTCCACACTTTCCGACACGATTGTAAAAGACTGTCCTGGTTCTAGATTGTTTGAATGCTTCCATATCTAATTCAATTGATTTATTTTCTGTATTTTTTTTAATCCTTGATACAGTTTTATATTTGTCATTTCGAATATTTGAATCTACTCTTTTCAAAGGTTCCCAGTTCCGAAAGCAATACACTAATAAAGCAACTGATGCCACAGTCAGCACTAGCTTTTGCTTGGTAAATCTTGGCATCTTTAAATACTGTTGTTTCTGAACGTCCAGCAATTTTATCAACCGATTCGGGTAATCCTAGCATTGCTCTATTTCCATGATTTCATTTTTCTTCAATACAAGAATTTGATTTGCATCTTTATATTAAATCGCATTTATGATTGAATGAATGCAATGTTTAAATAAACTATAAATATGAAATTGGTAAACAATAATTAAAAGTAAAGATTATGTTGATATGCTAGGTATGTACACTACATTATATTTGGCGCTCCCGAAGTATGTGAACTAACATGGCGGACACCGGAACGTATGTGTACCAGGTAATGGTTAGGACATAATTTTATTCCAATTTTCCTTATTTTAGTTCTATTACAAGTTAGGGGACTAGCCAAGTGACTCCCGTAGTATACGTACCTGAAATTATGACCTAACCCTAACCTGGTACACATATTACGTTCCGGTGCCCGCCATCTGGTTTCACGTACTACGGAAGTACCTTATATTTACCTTTCTTGTGGGTCAGACTGGCAGATGTGAAACGACATCGATTTTTCCATGAGTTTGCATAGGACTTCTAGGCTATATCAGTAGTGTTCCGGTACTTAAAAACCTTTTCCCATTTGCACTAATATATCAATAATGATAAAAGCTTGAGATTCTGCCCTATTGCTCGACGTTCATTATAATATGATCATGGTATTACTTTCACTACTTCTAAACTATAAATAAAATTCGCTAAGCAGCAAAATTCGAATGCTGAAATTCAATTCCTAATAAAGTTCTGCTAGCACTGTTGATATTAAGTTCAATCGTCACTAATGTAGAACGGTGGTCGTTCGTCGATAAGATTGCTGTATTACCCGAGGGCAACTAAAGACGCGCATATCAAGACACGTATAAATGCTATCATTTTATATTCATTATACCGATTAGAAATATTAGACTGTTCGACTTCGACTTCGACTCGATGAATAAACACAATTTTGCTTCCACTCCAGACGGGATATTGCACCTACTGGGTTTCCGTTTAATGAAATTATGACATAATTTTTTATTGTATTAAAATGGTTCACTTTTTACAGGAAGACGGAAGTTTATTGAAAATTCACTGTTGAAAATTTTGACTCCGGTTTCATCACATAAACAGGTGATGTGTAAAATATAATTTCCAATTCAGATTATTTTTTGAAATATTGAAACTGTTATTTCTTATTAATTTAGATCGAGGGTTCCCAAACCGCGAGCCAATTACGTTCCGCATTACGATTTAAAATAGCCCGCCAAACTTATGTGAAATAATTTAACAGTTCAACTTTACCGTAAATAAATACTAATACGTTTAACACTTTTCTGCGTTTTAGATACTGCCAATTGTTACATCATTACCACTGTTCAAGAACGTGTGTATCAGTAACAATTCAATTATAACGGTATCATATGTATTCGTACCGGATTATTAGGATCACATAAGGCAGTATTTTAGGTATCGGCCATAGACACTGAAAACAGACGTTTTTTAGATATATGGCAGCGTTCTTGTTTCGGTACTCCCGTAATATGTAAACCAAGATGGGGGACACTGGAACGTAGTATGCGTACCAGGTTAGGGTCAGGCCATAATTCCATATACAAATACTACGCTAGTCACTTGGCTAGTCCCCGAACTTTTAATAGAACTAAATTAAGGAAAATTGAAAAAAAATTATGGCCTAACCCTAACCTAGTACACATACTACGTTTCGGTGTCCGCCATCATGGTTCACATACTATGGGAGTACTCCTATTTCTTTATTGAAAAAAAATCTAACTTCAGCGATTTGTCTTTCTTGCCAACAAAATATTCCAGTCCTAAGGAATACAACATTAGACGCCATTATGAGACGAACCATTCTTCAAATTATGATAAGTTGAAGCTTGTGTTTGAAAATTTAATTCATCGCTAAATTCATACAAAAGTCAAAAAAAAGAAAAGTGAATTCACGGTATTGGCCAGTTATATTGTAGCCCACAATTTCGCCCGCTGGTTGAAGAGGAATTTTTCCACGAATGCAAATTTTGGAATTCATTTCTCCTGATATATAAAAAGTATATTTCCAGCATCAGTCAACACTATTACGAACAATAACAAATCAAAACTTCGATCCAGACTGAAAGATATTCAGTTAAATGTGCCATTGCGAATACACGTATGTACAAAAATACGCAACTAATTTATGTTGGCATTTCGTTTTTTATTATATTTACATATATTGGGATGATTTTTGTCTGTAACAAAACAGGCCATACGCAGCCATTTATACGAGGCCGTATGTCAGATGAGCAAGTAACTTCATTAGTCAATATCAGTCGCAAATTCTTTGTTGAAAATCGTGCTTGTTATTCCTCGGACATTCTATCACCTAACTATTATGATTAATAATATTATTACATAACGCAACTGCGATATCAGGAATATCAAGCTTGCAGCCTATTTTTCAAATGGACGCCGTCGCGCAACCCCCTTCTGGCTCGCAAATATCCTTCTGTTTCGAACTTTGACTCGCGGTCAATCAACACAAAATAACAAAACGGGTTCACAATTTTATCATTTATCAAGTATAAACTGTTCAAGGAATAATTCTCACGAATTCGTTAAAACCTTGCAGGGTCTAATCAGCAAGACTATTTGACCAAACATGGCAATTGCAATAATCTTCCTTTACATGCTGACATTTTATATTCACGGTAGTTTAGAAATATAAGACCGTATTCCCCAAATTGGAAAAAGTTTCAAAACTTCGACTCGATTGGGCTTTACTGAACCACGAAATTTCTGGCAGTGGAAAGTTGCGAACGTCTCACTTTTGGCCAGGATACCATGAAATGAATGAAGTATACAAAATATCAAATAGTGTAAAGCAATGTTTCAAATCATAATAACTTATTTACAATATATTACACATATATTATACAGAGTAAATTGGACTTCATTGATAGTAAATAAACATTTTATCTGCTTTAGGCTTTCGGAATATGGAAAATTCGCATGAAATTTGGTAAACTACTCTAGCAGCCAAAATCGAATTGTTTTACAAACTCAAGCCAAAACGAAAGTTTAGATGATAAATTTAAACGACTTCTTCTGCAGTTTTACATTCGGTCGCATTGCTTGAATTTAAATCACTTTTTTGTTGTCTTTTGCCACAACATTTGCAAACAGCAAACCAAGGCAACATTCTCGTCTGCCAGTCTTCGAAGCAAAAAAGCAGACACAACAAGTTAAAAGCTATATTAACATTATAAACCACCGCTGATCCAGTTATAGATAATACAACGAATGCGACAATGTCGCTTAATATTGTTATAGGAGTAATTATCATCGATCTCTTTAATAACTTGATGAACTTCTGTTGTGAACTTTGACCCCCAAAAGATTTTTGTGACGAAAGTTTTTCTGTGGCGAAATAACGGAATTATAAACAATGCAAGAGTGGAAATTTGGGTTTCAGTTTGATAAAGAAAGAAACAAATTGTCATCCACTTTGGAAAGAAAGCGAATCTAAGTATATTATTCCGAATGCCTTCCTATCCAATCACAATTTTCCCGAACAAATTGATGAATAACATGTAAAATCCTTGGAACCGACTGGAATTATGCAACGCTTTCGACGAGAGGTGTTTCAGTGATGGTTTGCTGTGAAACATTGCCTGGCGGAACCAGAGTATGAGATACTCCGACGTATACGCCCACTGTGCTAAAAGCACTTCAGATACGAAGATCGTACTTTTCAAATTTAGATAAAATATTAACTGCAACACCATCTTAGCTAAAGCAAGAATACCGGTGAAAACAAGTGTCAAATTCATTACAGACCGAAGATTCGACGCCAACAAAAGATCAGTACACTTATCAAGTCGAAGTTTGAACAATCTCTTCGAAACAAGAACGTAGATTTGACAGAACGTTATGTACAGCAAAATAATTGTAACAACTATGTCCACGTAAAATGCCCCTTTGAGTGCATCCGCGAAAGTTTCAACAAAGATGTTTGAATTGTTCATTGAACAGTTCATACTTGATTCCGTTTTTTGTGATGAAATCTAGATTAGCCACGCAGACAAACATCCAAATTACGGTAGCTCGCAACATGAATATATCTTCTTCTTTGAAGCCTTGTTCAAATAGAATGTCGGAAAACATGTTATAAAAACATTAAATTTTCATTATAGTTATCATATTATGCACAAAAAATATATATATTTACAAGGATTTTGCAGTTCTTGCCTCACTTCTCATATATACCCGCGGTATAGAATCTCAATTATTGGAAATGGCACATTTTGATTTTTAATGTCTTAGTTTTAAATATTTTTATTCAAATATACAATTGCCCAACTCATTTATCGAACACACTTTTTAAATAATTCCTGTTTTTCTTCACTAATAGAATTCATGCACTGGACATTACTCAGCCTCAGTAATATATATCTTACATTGTGTGGATTGCTAGACTGAAAATTTTATTGTTTAACTAGACTATTATTCCTCGTTATCATTACCATATGCCGATTACCAAATATTTTTCACAGAATAAAAGTATCTACGGATACCATATTTGAATTGCATCACCATCAGACTACACTAGAAGACTGACTGCAACAGCAGGAACAGCCAGAAACGAAGCCATATAACTTATATAATTTACCTGAATCGTCAGTTTAAAACTGCATAGGAGCCAGATTGCATTCATGAAGTACAATTTTGCTCTAAAACTGCAATTAACTTTAGACGCATTAGCATTTTCATCGTGACGTCGCGGAAGTATAGTCACAAATAGCAACTTCCTCAATATTAAAGCGCTAAAGCATATTAGAGCATTTACTCATTTATTTATCGTTTTTATAATATATTTAATCTCATTTGCATTCACCTATGGTACTATATCATGCTATTATAAGCTTATTATACAGCATATACACAAGGGTCGGGAGCCTAGATGACCTTAATCGGTTCTGCACACCGACCCGCACAAAACAATAATCAATCACTGAAATATTTTCTTTATTGTATTATGTTTATATTAGTGTTGATTGTATTTATTGTGGCAATAAATATCTCTCTCTCCCTCTGGAGAAAATTAAGTCGGAGTTTCAATTGACCATAATTTGGCATTCAATCAGTTATGAATCATGGAACTGCATATTTAATTTCAGATAACACGGAATACTAGTTTCATTATTATACTTGCATATTAATATAATTACTTCTTGTACATAAGGCACCAAGTTCTCAAGTACTTAGGGCCTATAAAACTGTAAAAGTATTCTACAGCTCTGAACTTTTGAATTTTAGGAACCTTCATTAGCGTTGAGTCCACCATACAACACTGTTCTGTCGTTAGAATGACTGGGTGGGGTACGGTTACCGTACTGGCATCCTGGTATCGTTATTTCGCCATTAGGAATATTGAACTTCAATAAGTAATGATACACTACTACAGTTCTAAATGCTGGTATGTATGAAAAAACAATTATCGGATTTAGTGTCGACTGTATTTTAACTGTACTGAAGTTACGGTGAAATGCAATTTTCAACATTTAACGACTTTTAAGTAGCATTTCACAGTTACCTTATTGGAGTTACGGTGAATTGCTACCTAAAATATTTATTTACTGACGCTTTTTAGTAGTAATACTCTTAAAAAACGCCAGCCGTCCAACGATTGAATAGCATTTCACCGTAACTTCAATGGTGACATTATTCGATTTCACTGAAGGTATTAGCTTGGGTCACAACGCGAGACTCATTATATTTTGTCATGCTCAGTTAAGATGAAGAATTTGTAGGCGTATAATAATGCAATAATGCTGTAGTCAGGGCTGATTTAGCAATTAAGCAAAAAAAGCACGTGCTTAGGACACCAAGGTAAATGGGAACCAGAGAAATGTTCATAGTCGAGCTTTCGGGAGTTTCTCAGCGTTCAATGAAATGATTGATCTAATTGTTCAGGCAATTCATATATTCATATATTTGGAATATTCTAAATGTTGATAGGCTTAAGAACTGTTTTAAAAAAATATGTAAATTAATCATAATTTGGCCTTCAATTAGTAATGAATACTGAAACGTACTTTCAATTTCAGATAACACGGAATACTTGTTACATTCCTCTTATTAAACGACGCAGAGATCAAATCGCCAGACACAATCTCTAACGTTAGGATTAGATGGGCTACAAGGGTTGTCAACTAGTCGGTGTGTTGAGTTAGTCGGAAGTCGCTACAACGTGTGTACGTGGATGTTTTTTGACTACTACCATGAACTAATGAAACAATACGGCGTTGCATTTCGTGCTAGTGCAGTGTTTCCCGAACAACGTCAGAAAATTTGAAAGACAAGTAGTTATATTTAACGTATGCATTACAAATCCGATGAAGGAATAATTTGAAAGCCGATTTGATTAAATTAGGGAAGTTATATCTTCAGTATGAATGAGTAAATTGCAAATGAGACTACGCGACAAACATCCATTCTACACAATGACAATGCACAGTACCATGCTTTGCTGAGCGATAAGCATCGTGGTTAAATTGCGAACGTTTTCGCTTTTGGCCGGGGAGATCTTGAAATAAATAAAGTACCAGTATCAAAATATCAATTAGTAAAGCTCACTTTCGAGTATAATATTTTATTTAAAATATATTTAACATACACATATATTACACGCATATTATACAGAGTAAATCGAACCTTTTATTAATTATTAAACATGTTATCAGCTTCAAGCTTTCGGAAAAGGAGAATTCGGGTAATATTCTCTAACAGCCACAATCGAATTTTTAATTAATTATCAGTCAAAGTCGCGATTCTCTGCAGAAATCAAGTTTTACTCTAAAATAAAAGTAGGGAATCACAACTCCATCAAGTATGAACTGTTCGAGGAATATTTCTCGCGAATTTGTTAAATCCTTGCAGGATATGCTCAACAAAACTGTTTATGTAAACGTGGTGGGTTGCAGTTATTATGCTTTACATAACGTCATGTCAGATTTACGTTATAATTTCAAAGAAATTGTTCAAACTTCGTCTTGAAAAATGTGCAGACCTTTTGATGGCATCGAACCTTCGATCTGCAATGAATTTGACACTTGTTTTTACTTTGCATCGTCATTTTAGCGAAGATGGTTGTGGAAATAATGTTTCAACAAAATATACATAATGCAATCTACGTAGCTAATTTGATTTTATCACAGTGGGCATTTACGTCGGAGTATCTCATATTGTGGCTTCGTCAGACAATGTTTCACAGCGAACCATCTTTGAGGCATCTTTCATCAAAACAGTTGCATAATTTCAGTCGGTTTCAAGGATTTTTCATGTTATTCTTCAATTTTCTTGGGAGTATTGTGATGGGATATGGAGCTACTCAGAATAATGTGATAAGAATGACTTGTCTTCCAAAGTGGATGACAATTCCTTTCCTTTTTTACCAAATTGAAACTCAGATTTCAACCCTTGCATTATTTATAATCCCATTATTACGTCACAGAAAAACGTTGGAAAAATCTTTCAACGGTCAAAGTTTACAACAGAATTCCATCAAGTTATTAAAAAGATCGTGATAATTACTCCTATAACAATTTTAAGCGACATTGTCGCACTAGTTGTGTTGTCTACGTCTGGAATAGCGGTGATTTACAACGTGAATATAGCTTTTAATTTGTGGTGTTTGCTTTTTTGCTTCGAAGACTGGCAGACGAGAATGCTGCCATGTTTTTCTTTTTGCAAATGTTGTCGCGTAAGACAACAAGAAAGTGATTTAAATTCAAGCAATGCCACTGACTGTAAAACTGCAGAAGAAGACGTTTGAATTTTCTCATCTTCACTTTCGTTTTGACTTAAGTTTGTAAAACAATTCGATTTTGGCTGTGAGAGTAGTTTACCAAATTCCATGCGAATTTTCCATATTCCGAACCGAAGGCTTAAAGCAGATAAAATGTTTATTTACTATCAATGAAGTTCAATTTGCTTTGTATAATATATGTGTAATATATTGTAAATAAAATATTTTGATTTGAAACTGAGCTTTACTATTTGATTTTTTGTATACTTCATTCATTTCATGCTCAAAAGTGAGACGTTCGCAACTTTCCATTGCCAGAAATTTCGTGATTTATAAAGTGCGTTCACGCAAGGGAAATCGAGTCCAAGTCTTGAAACTTTCTCCAATTAAACGAAAACAGTCTTATATTTCTAAACGGTATAATGAATATAAAATGTCAGCATGTAAACCAAGAATATTGCAATTGCCACGTATGCGTAAATAGTCTTGCTGATTAGACCCTGCAAGGATTTAACGAATTCGTGAAAATTATTTTTTGAACAATTCATTCTTGATGGAGTTGTGACCCCGTTCCTTTATTTTGTGTTGATTGACCGCGGGCCAAATTTCGAAGCAAAAGGATATTCGCGGGCCAAAAAGCGGGAGCGGCAAAAATGGCTCGACGGCATGGAGCGCTGAAGCGTCCCTTTGAAAAATAGACTGCAATCTTGATTTTAAATACACCTAGCATCGCAGTTTGTTATGTAATAATATTAAAAATCTCAATAGTTAGATGATAGAATGCCCGAGGAATAACAAGCACGACTTTCGACAAAGTATTTGCAACTGATATTCACTATTGAAGTTACTTGCTCATCTGGCACACGGCCTCGTATAAATGGCTACGTATGTCTTGTTTTGTTACACAAAAAACATCCCAATGTATAGAAATATAAAAAAAAATTGAAATGCCAACATAATTTAGTTGTGTATTTTTGTATATACGTGTAATTCGGGTTTGCACCAAATCAGATGTTCAAGAGGTGGCTCTAATTCATTACATTGTGTTTGCAATAACGCATTTAGGTGATTATCTGTCAGTCCGGACCGAAGTTTTGATTTGTTAAGGTTCATAATTGTGTTGTTAGAAAGAATGATGTTTGAAAATATTATTTTTATATCAGATGAAATGACTTCCAAAACTGGCATTTGCGGAAAAATTCCCTTTTAACCAACGGGCGATTCTTTTTAGCGATGTTGTGGGCTACAACATAACTAACTAATAACGAAGATTCACTTTCATTTGACATTTTTTTCAACATGTTATGGAAGTTGGAAGTTATGTTTTACACATTACCAGTTTATGTGATAAACCGGAGTCAGAATTTTCAACAGTGAATTTGCAATAAACTTCCGCCTGACTGTAAAAAGTGAACCATATTAATACAATAGAATATGGGTGTCAAACTCGTGGGTATTCGAGGGCCGCATTTCATTTTGGGAATTTTGCCAAGGACCGCAAACAGTTTTTGATATATTTTGATAAGGTATAATTGAAGCATATTTTTAGATAGGTGTAGTTTGTGACACATATTGTGATGTAATTAAACAGCAAAAAAAGTTTAGTTATTTTCCTAAATTTCAAATGCCATTTACGTATTAATTTCTTGCATTTCACCATTATTGTATTTACTGTATTTTTTACAAATCATAGATTTTCATATACTAATATCCAAAATATTTTTGAACAAACTTTTGATAAGAAAAGAATAATACATACACTAAAAATGACTTAATCTTAATATATAGACGTAAACTCTAAATAAAAATAACAGAATAAACCTAATGTTTTCATTAAATTTCACATGACGTCTGGCATCTCTTTTGGGCCACCAGCTCACTATTATGAGCAGAAATGATTTTACAGTTTCAACTCCAATTAACGAGGTCACATCGGTTAATTTGGATATTTGAGAATGTTTGATAATTTCTGAAATTCCTCTTTTATTTGTAACTTAGCATCAGAAGCTCGGAAAAAGACAGCAAGTTGTACAATGCCTGATATATCACACGATTCATCAATTGCTATTCAAAGTCAGCAGAAGCAGTTTTTGTTTGTTCTTTTAAATTTGCAGACATCTCATCAATTCAAGTAGCAG